GTTGGTTTCTTCAGAAAGTCCTAAGTTCAGAGAGCCCTCATAATCGATTATTGCCTATGTGATAATCGATTATCGGTGAAGCTAACTCAGACCCAAGAATCCGCAGGGCCTGATAGTCGATTATCACATATGTGATAATGAGATAATCGATTATCTCGCTATGCTGAAACAACTGAGGAGTCCAGCGTGGCCTGATAGTCGATTGTACTATTCTGTAACTCGATTATCAAGGCACACTGACTTCCATTAAATCTGTTTGTTTGTCATCAAAACGTTGGAAGTTTTAGAAACGAATGTTTATATTTCCATGCTAGATAATCGAATAACTTACAAGGTTTCAAAACATTTATATTAACGAGAACATAACTTGATAACATGGACACCCGTATGTTGGATGGTTAACCTACGAACATGCATAGTTTCTACGTAGGTTGCGTACGATACTCCTATGAATATAACAACATAGATTATGACTTGATGTTCTAGAATTAGAGGAGACAACTACTCACCTCTATTGAAGGGGTTGACGGAATGATACGGCGAGATGAACGAATGGATGACGATGGATGAACAACGAATGGTTTCTCGTGGTCACCTCCTTCTCTTCTTCCTCCTCGTCTACTCACCGGAACCGTCTCCCTGGGCTGCTACTGCTTGGCCGAACAAGAGAAGGGAGAAGGGAGTTGAGTGTGTGAGTGGAGGTTACAAAATGTGATGGGGAAGTGAAGAGAGAAGGAGGGTTTAAATGGAGAACATGAATGGGGAATTAATGGGTTACTAATGAAGGATTAAAGGGAGAGGAGTTATGGGAGAGGAAGGGTGTGGCGTGTGGTTCATAATTTGGGGAGTTACTTCCCTAAATTCCACTCTGTTGTGTAGAATTTGATCTGAACGGTACGCGGTTTTTCCCTCGAACGGGTCCGAATTGAAAACCGTTTACGTTTTTGGAATCAGACAGTCAAAACAAATTTAATGACGTGTTCAAATAATTTTTCTAAGAACTTTTATTTTCCCCAACTCTAAACCGGAACAGTAGTTAATTATTTAAAATAATCAATTCTAATAGGCTGGGTTGTAGGGCGTTACAATTATCCACCCCTTAAGAAAAATTTTGTCCTCGAAATTTACCTAGTCATTGATCGCCATGATTACGTCATGGGCGAGCTACTCAGTGCGTCCGTGCTTTGCGTTTGTGCGAGCTGGAGCCTCTCGAGACTGAGCGCTCAGCGTCGGCCTTTTGGGCTCGCTGGACGCTGCTACCGATCTTTGGCTCTGAGTGGGCTGGGCGGCTGGGGCTAAAGCTTCGGGTTCTGTCGTAAACGCCTCGCCAGGGTTCGTCGGGCAGTCCCTTTGGAAATGCCCGGCCTGACCACACCCTAGGCATAAGCCCTGAGTAAACCAACACTCTCCGGGGTGCCTTCGACCGCAATGGGTGCAGATCGAGTACCGGTATCTGCTCTGACTCGGGTTCTTCCCGCTCTCCTGTGTAGGCACTAGCGACGGGGCATGTGTTGACTTGGCCTTCTTGCTTGTGTGCAAGCTGCCTGGCACGAAGAAGGACCTCTTGCTGCTAGAGCTAGGTGGAGGTGGACGAGGATGCGTCGTTTGGGCCTGCTCGTACTCGGCCTTCTTGATGAGGGCTGCATTCATGTCCAACGCATGCTTGAACAGTGCGTTGATGTCAACCCGAGGAGCAGTGATCAGATGGGCTGATAAGTCGGGGCGTAGACCCTCCACAAAGCGCTTGCACCGCTTCTCCATGGTTGGGACGAGGTCTTGCCCAAATCCTGCGAGCTCGTCAAACTTTTGACGATACTCAGGTAGTGTGAGTTCGCCCTGGGTGAGTTTCAGGAACTCCTCTCGCTTCGCCTTGACGAAGTGCTCTGGAATGTACTCGTCATGGAAGAGTCGATCGAATGTGGGCCACTGCACGGGCTCAGGGACGTCTGCTCCCACGCGCTCCCTCAGGTTCCCTAGAACTCGGATGGTTCGCTCAAACCATCGTTTAGAGATCATGGGGTCGGCGATCTGGTCGCATAAGAATTCCTCACCTCCGTTCTTCCGGAGCTTCTCGATGGTGACCACAGCCACCGGTGGTGGCGGTGGTGGCGGTGGTGGAACATATGCGCCAGCCAACTGCTGGAGGAAGTTCATTAAGTTAGCCGCGAACTGCGGCTGGTTGATAGGAATGACTCCCAGAACAGGGCCCGCGCTTGGGGCTGCCTGCTCTGGGGCCTGTTGGGGTGTGAAGCTTGACGCTTCCGTGTGGACGCTCACGTGGCTCTCCATGTGGGACATCCTGTCCGTCGTTGCCTGCTGCTTGGCTCATTTTCTATAGGAATAACTTAAATCAGAACTAATTATAATATGACATACATGTGATTTAAATAACGGTGTACCTTTCCCTGGGAGTGATGCGATGAGAGATGCAGCTGTGGACTTTTTTTTTTTGAAAATACCTCTTGACCAAGTTGACAAAATATGTTTTTTTATTATATATTTTTTTCCCTTTTTACACAAACCGAACCGCTCTGATACCAAATTGTAACACTCGCCTTCCGTGGACCCGGTTCACCCGCGACCCGACGTGTTATATCTAAGCTCAGGGTTTTATAGTCTCAGACTCTTTATTTGCAGGGAGAGGGAGATAATCAACTGTCCTAAGTGGATAATCGATTATTGAAGGCTTCAGGTTCTGGGTAGTTTCTGGGCTGAGAAGGGCGATAATCGATTGATGGGGGAGTGACAATCGATTATTGAGAATTGCAGGTTTCTGGGAAAAGCTAATAATCGATTGTCCTAAGTGGATAATCGATTGTTGAAGGCTTCAGGTTCTTGGAAGTTTTCTGGGAATTCTCTGAGAAGGACGATAATCGATTGACGGAGGAGTGGTAATCGATTATTGTGAGTTGCAGGTTTCTGGGAAAAGCTGATAATCAATTATCTGAAAGTGATAATAGACTATTGAAGACTGCGGGTGTTTTACGAAGGATAGATAATCGACTTCTACTACTGATAATCGATTACTAGACAGCTCGAGACAGGAAAAAAGGTATTTCTTTGGGAAGGGGAACAAGCCAAGTTGGTGTTAAGAGATGTTACTCACCCTTATCTTAACTTGAGGTTGAATCTAGCATTCAAATAAGATATAACACACTTATTTAAATAACTAGAACCTAAAACTCACACTCAAGAGAACCACTCTTAAGATATAGGATTAGGAATTTGGAATGAAACACACAAGTGAATCACTTTGATTAAAAGGGGAATACAATGTGTTTCTACACCCAGGCCTATTGCTGAATATATAGGATTACATTGGAGGGAATGAGGGAAAATACAACTC